CTCTTGAAGTGTCGTATGCACCACCTTTGGGACCACTTCCAGGCTGGATCTAAACCTAAGATGGCAGCTCTAATGCCGACGTGCCGATCAGAGATTATTGTAAGGTTTGTCCTCCTAGTACAATGGATCTGAATTTGCCGAAAAAACCATCCATAGCTATCAGCATTCTCTCCCTCAACGATGGCGAAGGCTAAAGGAAAGACTTGTCTGTTTGCATCCACCCCACTGGCAATCAGGAGAGTGCCCTTGTACTTGCTGGTAAGGAATGTTCCATCCACTTGGATGACAGGGACACAGAAGCCAAAACCATCAATACATGGCTTGAATGCCCAGAAAAGTCGTCTGAAATGGCGCTTGTTACCTGGCTCTGGGGGTTGTATCTCTTCATCTTGATATCGAGGGGAGAAAACCGTGCCAGGGTTAGACGCCTCCAATGCCAGAATTAACCTGGGAAGGAATGCATATGATTCTTCCCAATCACCAAAGACGGCGGCCAGAGCTTTCTGCTTTCCATGCCACGCCTTCTTATAGTTAATCATATAACCATAACGACTTGCAATGTCAGCGATTATGACTTTCACCTTTAGGTCTGGCTCTTGCTCAATTAGATGCTTGATAGCCGCAGCAACCACCCTGGATTTCAACTGTCGATGGCCTTGGGAAGTTATGGATGACACACATGTGTGTGTGTTCACCGCACGGGATATGACCCAGCAACCGTGTCTCTTGCTGTTGATGGCCCGAATCCTAACATTGCACCCCTCGTGATGATTACGACATCTGACTAAGAGCCTTTTAGTGTTTGAATGAGTTGTGACCCATTCAAAATGCCGAGTCATTGCTTCTGTCTCAATGGCGTGACGCACATCCTTCTTCGAGCCAAATTGTTGGCCCTTCATAAACCCAGTGAGTGGACCCCATATTGGGACCTCTGGCGGCTCCATGTCGCTGTCGACCATCCAATTGTCGTCTGGAATGTGATTGTAGTAGGGGACTGGTAGCGACCTTTGATGGAGGTCTTCAAGCAGCGGTCTGGTAGCGACCTTTATCTTCTGAAAATTGCCACCTACGTAGGTGGCACCCTTTCCGGTCTCTTCCGTGTAACCATTTCACCGTAAGCCAAGCGTGAACTTTTGGAATGCCATCTGCGATAAAACAGTAGTTAAGTTAATATCATAAAAATCAAAAATAAAAATTAACAATACAAAGTAATACTAAATCAACTTACGAGTTAACGTTAATCGCAAAACTACTAAAGAAATATGTAATACTAAATCAACTTACGAGTTAACGTTAATCACAAAACTACTAAAGAAATATGTAATACTAAATCAACTTACGAGTTAACGTTAATCGCAAAACTACTAAAGAAATATGTAATACTAAATCAACTTACGAGTTAACGTTAATCGCAAAACTACTAAAGAAATATGTAATACTAAATCAACTTACGAGTTAACTTTAATCGCAAAACTACTAAAGAAATATAGAGCTACAACAGAAAATTGAAAAGGGAAGTGAGAAGGAGAGGTATGAAGAGAAATGGTTGTCCGGGAGGCCTTTTATAGCCAAAATCTTGATGAAAACCGCACCTTAGAGATGCGATTTTCGTCTGCCATGTAGGCCCATGCAGACCCACGTCTGTAAGGTGCGGTTTGCATGTTAAAATCGCATCCTCATGGTGCGATTTTGTCTGGCAGAAACAAATCGCACCTCGGCCATGCGATTTCAGTAGGTCAGACCTAAATCGCACCTCGGCCATGCGATTTTACTAGGTCAGACCAAAAATCGCTTGGCTAAAGTGCGATTTGATTCTAGATTTTTGGAACGCACTTGTAGGGTGCGATCTATTTTTAAAACGCACTTGTAGGGTGCGATTTATATGTAAAACGCATCTACAAGGTGCGTTCTATTAAAAAGGGTGCTATTAGTGGAATTTTTTTTACATGGGTGCTATTTTTGTAATTTTTTTTAAAGGTCCTATTTCTGGAAAAATCCCGCATAACTTTCTCCCAACAACTCGAGTTATTGAGCTAAAGTGGTTTACAACATGACATCAGAGCCTGGTTCAAAAACCTAATAAAAAAACCACAAAAAACTTCCTTCCTACCCGCCGCCCACCATGAGTGCACAATCGCCCGGAAACTGATCATTGTTCATGCTGTTGAATGTTGATCCAATCTCTTTTCCTTGTTATTGTTCCTCCATTCCATAAGTTCCGTGTTTTATTTGTCCAAGTTCGTCCCTTCTAATCAACTCTGTTGGTTGGCAAGAATAACAATTCCCAGTGGTCATCAAGTTTTGGTCGTCGTCATGTCTTCGTCGTGTCTCCCGCTTCGCTTCGTCAGGTCTACACACCATGTTACCATGCCCACTTATCAGCTCCAGTCTATTGGGTACCGACCCAAAATTGATACCGCCTTGTGAATGAACGCTATTGGAATTTCTGGGTATCTCTTCATCAACGTTATACAAATTTAGCTCTTTGCACTTCTGGATTGATGGGCTATGGTAGATTGCAAAAGGTTTTCCGTTGGAATCGTTCAAGTTCGTCTCGGTTTGGTACAACCATGGGTTTCGTCCCTGTGGTTGCTTTGTTTCGGTCATGGCGGTGTTGTTCGGAACACCTTAGTTTGAGATATTGTTCGGAATATCTCAATTTGATAAATGCTGTTCGGAGTTGGTTTCGTTTATGTTTCGATGATACTATTCGGAGCATCCTAATCCCCATGTTGATGTACGGAGCACATGGCTTTGTTTCTGTTTCGATGATGCTATTCTAAGCATCCTGATCGTTCGGAGCATGTGGTTCTGTTAGTTCGACGAACTAGACGACTTTGGCAAGACCTTTTGTTATCTCTAGCTTATCACCATCGACGTGTCACGAGGCATTGGACATGGTCTTCATCGACATCGACATATTTGGCGGAGCAGTTATGTTTTTCATTGTTTTTTTTTCCAGTCACATTGTTCGTAGTAGTTTGTATCGTTTTTTGTTTCGGTTTTCAAATTGTTGGTAAGTAATTACCATCAATTTGGGGAGGGTATTGGAGTATGTGTAGTACGAGTAGTATTATGTTATACTACGAGTACTGTTATGTAATTGGTCAGGGTTATATTCTTTATCAGAGTCGTATTAGTATTAGAGTTATTATAGAAGTCAGTCTCTGTACTCTATATAAACGCTATGCGATTTCAGTAATAATACACAAGAGTTTCCACAGTATTCTGATTTCCCAACAGACATTGTGGTGAATTTATTTAACAAAAAATAATGGTTTTTTATTTGTTTCTTAAATTTGAAAGTTAAAGTTGTTATTTGTTGGATGTAAGTGTGAATGTTTAGACTTTAGATGTTCATGTTATTTTTTGAATTAAAATATAAAGTTTGTAAGTCAGCGTTAAATATAATTTTTTATTTTGTTTGGAATGTTGTATTTTATTTATATATGGATTTATATTTTAAATAGATTTTTTTCGATAATTGATTTTTACAAATATATGTTTTATATATAAATTCATTTAGTGTTAATAATATCCCACTTCCTTACATGTTTTTGCTAAGATAGACATGAATTTATATAAACTAATTATATCATCAATTTAACCATACCACTTATCAAACATACGTCACTTTATAAAACGATTTGACAAACTTCACGATAATACACAAAATTTTTGGATTTGTAGCCTTGAATAATGTAACATAAACCAGCCCAAATTAAATCGATTCTCAAATTGTTCCCACTTGTTAACTTGGCCGTCCTCTTGCAGCATTGGCTATGAAAATTAGGCGAAGACACCAAGAAGAAAAGAGAGAAAGAAACCAAAACAATATTCGTAATTCTGGAAAAAATCAGCCTTTTTCTGAAGGGTCCCCAACATTTGCAGCAGCATCCATCCACCACCCCATTTTTTGGCAAATCCTCCCCGTGAATTTTCCTTTTCACATCCATCTCGTGATACCCAATTGTCGATTTTTAAGTCGCTATTTTGGCTTAACAAGCAATTATGAAGTTTGAAAGAAAAAAAATAGATGTATGCATTTTTATGTTCAAGTACAGTGTGAATAGAAACTCTAGATCCAATTGTGTTTTCGACATTTGATGGTTTTCGAGACCCTATCTAGATGTTATGTTTAACAAGTTTGGTTTAGGTGTTCGATAATTCTTGATTCGTTATTGTCCCAATCAGAGGATATGCAATCGAATTTGAATTGTCAAATTGGGTTATTTGTTTATTTTTTATATGTATCCGGAGATCTATTGAATGTTCAGATCATGCAATTCACTAGTTTAAAGGTGGGCTTCACGTGATGAATATTTTCAAAATTGTGACGAATGAAGTTTATGATTCAAACTTGGACAAAACACCACCATTAGGAAGAACTGGAAAATAATTTTTTGGACGATTGTTAGTCGAAGATTCAAATTCAGGGGTCAAGAATGCTACTGTTCTCACTTTACTATCAGGCTGACTCGTTGGGGGTTCAAACTTAACTATGTTGATGTTTTATGGGATTGTTTACATGAGCTTTTTTACAAGCTGGTTTTAAGTGATTGGTCGAATTGATTAAATTATGAAAAAAAAGAAGAAGAAATGAGTCATTTTTGAAGAATTTCCCTCCTTGCTCAATTGTTTTCAAATATCCAATGGAAAGAAATGACTCATCGTTGTTAAATATGGTATTATGCTCCGAATCAATTAATTAAGTTATTGTGTACAAAATGACTCGTTTGAAACTCCGCGTAAACCATTCCAATATTTTTTTCATAGAACTAATCGATGTCTATGTCTTGGCTTGCTTTTGATTCTTAGATTACACTTGGGGTTAACCTTAGACAAAGTAAGATTTTTTTGTTCTCTTAGAGCTACCTTAAATTGATTTTAATGTTCAATTTGGTGTGGAACCGAGCTGGATCAGCCGTTCAAACTTTGAAACCATCTTCTGGTTTTTACCTAAAGTAAAAGTTAGAACTAAAGATAAAGCAAATCTCAATGGTCAAATGGCGCCATAATCCGGCACCCCAACCCAACCTCCTTCCCCTTGTTTCCACCTGACTTTTGTTTTCTTCCCATTTTGGTTCCTATTCCTCCACATAATCTAGAAAAGTGCGACTGTTCTCCATTCTTCTCCATCATCTCCTCCCCATTCTCAGATCTCGAAAAATCCCCACTACCCCGAAGCCAAACCCCATTTCTCCACCCAACCCATTTCTCCAAACAGGCCAAAGATTCAAGCTTTGGTTCCTGTTTGAGAGGAAAACAGAGAAAGAGCCATCTGAACTTGAAAATCCCCTTTGTGGCAGTGGTGGGAAGTAAACTACTCATTAGTAGCTACAGTTGCAGTAGATGTGGCTCATGTGAGATGAAGAAGAGGAATACCACTTTCTTCTTCCTTCTTCTTCTAATTACCCTTTCCCTCCTTCCTTCTCTTTCCCTTTCTGATGAAGTAGCAGCAGAGCTCCCACCGGCCATTTCCAGCCGCGAAACCCTAACTCAAGCCGAGGTCTCCTACCTCCGCCGGCGGCAGCTTCTGTACTACAAGGACGAGGCCGGCGACCGCGGGGAGAACGTCACCATCCCACCCGGCTTCGTCTTCGAGAACTCGCGCCTCCGCGATGCCTACATCGCATTGCAGGCGTGGAAGCAGGCGATTATCTCCGACCCGTTCAATGTCACCGGAAATTGGACCGGCCCAGATGTTTGTACCTACGAGGGGGTGTTCTGCGCTCCGGCGCCGGACAACAAGACCATCCGGACCGTCGCTGGCATCGACCTCAACCACGCCGATATCGCCGGTTACCTGCCGGAGGAGCTCGGGTTGCTGCGAGATCTAGCGATTTTCCACATCAATTCGAATCGGTTCTGCGGTATGGTGCCTCGGACTTTCAAGAACTGGAAGCGGCTCTACGAGCTGGATCTTAGCAACAACAGATTCGCCGGCCCTTTCCCCAATGTCACTCTATTGATGCCCAAATTGAAGTTCTTGGATCTCCGATTCAACGAATTCGAAGGCACCGTCCCCAAAGATCTCTTCGATAAGGATCTGGATGCGATTTTCATCAACCACAATCGATTCCGCTTCGAGCTGCCGGACAATTTTGGGAACTCCCCTGTTTCCGTCATCGTGCTGGCGAACAACAATTTCCACGGCTGCGTTCCGGCGAGCTTGGGGAACATGACGAATTTGGAAGAGATCATCATGATGAACAATGGCTTCCGGTCCTGCTTGCCGCCGGAGATCGGGCGGCTGAGGAATGCGACGGTGTTCGATGTCAGCTTTAACCGGCTGATGGGTCCGTTGCCGGATACGATTGGAGGGATGGTGAGCTTGGAGCAGCTGAATGTGGCGCACAATTTGTTGTCGGGCCCGATTCCGGGGGCAATTTGTCAGCTGCCGAGGTTGCAGAATTTCACTTACTCTGATAATTTCTTCACCGGAGAGCCGCCGCAGTGTTTAGCCTTGCCAGCGTTTGATGACAGGAGGAATTGTCTGCCGAATCGGCCGGCGCAGAGGGCGCCTGGGCAATGCCAGGCGGTTTTGTCGAAGCCGGTGAGGTGTAGTGCTTTTAGATGTGCTCCTTTTGTTCCTCCTCTGCCGCCTCCGTCGCCTCCTCCGCCACCTGTTGTTCTCCCGTCACCACCGCCTGTGTATTCGCCTCCACCTCCGGTTTACTCTCCTCCACCGCCGCCACCACCAGTCTACTCGCCTCCTCCGCCAGTATACTCGCCTCCACCGCCAGTCTACTCTCCTCCACCGCCGTCGCCGCCACCACCGGTTTACTCTCCACCGCCTCCTCCTCCATCACCACCACCGCCGTCACCGCCACCACCGGTTTACTCTCCACCGCCGCCGGTTTACTCTCCACCACCTCCTCCTCCTTCACCTCCACCACCGTCTCCGCCGCCACCATCTCCATCGCCGCCGCCACCATCGCCACCGCCGCCTTCCCCATCCCCATTACCTCCATGTACCCGTCCCCCACCACCTCCACCACCAAATTCACCACCGCCGCCGCCGCCTCCACTCTTCTCCCCACCACCACCGCCAACGCCAAACCCTTACTACAGCAGCCCGCCACCGCCTTCCCCATCCCCTCCACCCCCAAATTCCCCTCCTCCACCATCTCCGCCGCCTCCCTTTTACCCCTACCTATCCCCTCCGCCTCCTCCGCCACCGGTCTACCTTCCCCCACCACCTCCCCCATCTTCCCCTCCTCCCCCGCCGCCATGTATAGAACCTCCTCCACCTCCACCTCCATGTGTGGAAAATCCACCACCAGCAATGCCACCGTACAAACCACCACCGTCTCCATCCCCACCGCCACCGCCAATCCACCACCCATCCCCACCACCGTCGCCAATCTTTTACCCATCCCCTCCTCCACCGTCGCCATCACCTCCCCCGCCAAAATTACACAAGAGCCCGCCTCCACCGCCGGAATACATGGGGCCATTGCCGCCAGTAGTAGGAATCCCATACTCATCCCCTCCACCACCGCCTTACTATTGATTCTTTTGAGAATCCCCTCTTTCTAACCCTTATTATCACAAAACCACAAAAAAAAATTTTTGGGACTTTCGTTTCAGCATCAACAACTACAAGAACAGCATTCTTCTTCTTCTTCTCTTCTATTATTACTCTTTTTGTGGGGGGCAATTCTCGTGCTTCAGTTTGAGAGATGGAAATAAAGAAGTAAACTTTCAGGTATCATCATCAACAAAGGGTTACAGACAGAGTTCCAAGTTTCTCCTCCGGCGACAAAAATGGCGCAATCAATCTTCAGCTTCATTACTATATGATGTCTAGATATCATATTCATACTAGTAAGATGGGGAAATATTCTCAATAGATTTATTCGAATTGTTCGTACCAAATTGAGTCCTAAAGAAGAATAATAAGGTATTTTCAGAGAGAGTTAGAGAAAAACTTGCAGTGGGGAAAGTTTGTATGTATAGAAGGGTGGGCGTGGGGGATTGGGATGCAGAGACACCATGATCAGGGAAAAGAGATCTACAGCTGCTGGGATGGCATTTTCAATGTTTCCTTTTTATTTTCTTATTTATATCATACTTCTTCTTGGTTTTATTTTGCTTCTCTTATTGTTGGCCAATTCTTATCATATATAGATCATGATGAACCATTTTTACTTGTATTTTGATTGTTCTCCTGATTTCAGGTGTCAATTCAATCTTCTTCTATCTGCTTGGTTTTCTGGTATGGTGTTCTTGGTCTTGTATATATGTTGGTAGAAATAATGCCATGTTCTTCCATGCAACCTCTTCATCCTAGCGATAGTTGTTTGCACACTCTACTTCGTGAATTCAATTCGTATCAGTAGCTCGAATTTGCTCGAATTTAGGGATGGCAACAAAACCCGAACCCACGGGTACCCACCCGACCCAATCCGATCAACGCGGGTAAAATCCGTGTTGACGGGTTTTGGGCCGGATTTGGGTTTAAACCCGTTCAATATTCACCGGGTTGGGTTTGGATTTAGGTAAACCCGACCCATGGGTACCCGACCACACCCCATATAATTAATTTTTTGGTAAATTTAATATTCTAAACAACTAATCTTATTTATGTTTGTGAAGACATGTCTAATTTTTTCTTTCAAATTGTGTAGAATGAAGTTGATGTTATCTAGTGGAGAGTGAAGAAACTTAATTGAAAGGAAGCAGCTTTCAATTAATCATGTTATTTATGGATAATTTGTGATTTGCTTCAATTTTCTTGAGTTTTCTAGATTGGTGTTGAAAATTTTGTATAGTTAATTTGTGATTGGCTTGAATTTTCTAGAATGATGTTTTAAATATGGATAATTTGTATTGAGAGATTGATATTTGACTTTAATTTTGATAGGAACTTGTTATTGTAAATTTTTTACGACAAAACCCGTGGGTACCCATGAACCCGCGGATACCCAGCGGGTTGGGTTTGAATTTTTCAAACCCAGTGAGTTTTACCCCGAGTTTTTTTCACATATAAACCCATGAGTTTGGGTTTGGCAAAACCCGACCCATTGCCATCCCTACTCGAATTCTTAGTAGCAAACATTTCTCGCCCGAATCAGTGCTTGAAGTGCTAGATACTGTCTAGCAATGTGTGAGATTGTGCAGTTGTGATGGGAGAATCCACTTCTATTGTGCATAAAGGAGAATACGAGTAACGTGATTAGATTGTGTGTCTTGAATTATCGTCCTACGTCGCTATATTCGACGACTGTGGTTGGTAACTTAGTGGCGGGCAATTCTATTTCTCTTGTTTTACTTCCATGATTGGTGGTGGTGGAATGGATTGATTTGCGAGAATTGGGCAGCTGGTTTGAATGAGGAAGCACTTTTTTAAATGTGATGGCGAGAGAGTCTTTGTTGCGATTTGTATAGCATGCTCCCCATTGATGGGAGTTTGAAATTTTTTGAAACAGAAAGCAAATTAAAAAGCTTTTTCGGTCCATTCATCTTCAAACATCTAAATTCCTTCCAGGCATAGGCAGGCAGGCTCCCTCGTTGGGTTTTGGGAATGAGGCTTGTTGACTTGGATGGTTGAGTTCTACACAATAAATAAAAGCCAAATGAGAAAACTTGAAGCCTCATTTCAAATTTCCTGCATTTAGAGTAAAAGTAGGAAGGACATTTTGGTCTTCACAATTACTTTTTTTTTATTCATTAAAAAGACACTTACTAGGATTTGAACCATGACCACTTTAAAGAAAAGCAAAGATCACAACCAATCACACTAAGTACATTTGTTGTATATTTTAAATTAAAAACATATAATCGCAGAGAGGAAAAACCCCTTCACCCATTTCAAATTCCCTGCTCCAGGAACGTTTGTAGAAAGGGTAGAATAGGGAGTGTCAATTTTTTTCTTTTTCCTCTGTGGAACGAGCCAACTTACCGTATACATGCGGATTTAAACGGGTCCAGGAGTGTCAATTTTTTTCTTTAAGTCCTTTTATTTCTCCGTGGTGGTAAAATATATATGAAAAGGAAAAAAAATTCTCATTTTTATTGCTAAAAAGAAAAAAAATTAACAATAAACTAATGCATGGATTCTAATGGGCTAACCGCTAATCATAAAATAAAAGAGTTGAATGGGTCTGACCTACACGGGATTTGCCCATCAAGTAAAACAAATGAACATCATGGGTTTGCCATTCTAAAACAATCTATTTTCTCTAGCATAATATATATTATGCTATCATTTTATATTTTAGTGGCTAAAATATAATGTATTTTAAAATTATTCAATGGTTCAACCTCGACCAACCCAATTAGTCCAATTTTTATCATTTCAAATATATAGTGTGTAATTATTTGATATCATAATGATTAAATTATAGTGTATATTATAGGGAATCGTTTGATATTTGTTAGTAAAAAACTAAACAGAAAGATCTATTTGGTTATTTTTAACAGTAAAACGATCCTAAACATTTTCAGTTTCCTTTCGAAATTCTATAGTTTTATTCCCGAATCAGTGATGTGCAAATGGCGAATTGCAGTCATCTCATTTCTTTCATTATTTTTTATTTTCAAATAGAAAATTTAAAAGTAAATAATAATTAGGGTTTGGCATGGGTCGGTCAAACAGGATGAATTTCAAGTTTTGGCCTGTTTTGATTAAGTCTAACTTATAATCATATGGTTCGCTGATACCCGATAAAAGCTCAATCCAAACCAGTTTGGCAGGTGAGTCCGTGTTTACAACCATTTTCTAGGGATACAGGAACAGTGGTTCCTATATCAAATCGTGTTGTTCATTCTTGATTTCTTTAGATTTTATTATGGCTTGGCAAAAAACCAGAAAGCACAATGATGACAAGATGAAAGTTTTATAAAGCAAATTAATCGGCCAACAGGCTGAGTAAAAGCTAGCAACGATTGTGAGAAGCTCATTTCCCGAAAACCGGCGGGGTAGGCGATTTTTTATTCGATTTTCTGGAATTAGGTTTCTATAAAACTTACTCCATCTCATCATATTACCAGAAACAATATTGTTTCACAAGGTAACAAATACTTGATTTTGGTTTATAAGGCTGATTTTTGATTCGTTGCATCATTCATATCTCTTTTCTACTAAAATTCACTATTTTTATCACGTGTTTCCAAAAAAAAACCATTCAACAATAAGCTATACACCTCATTACATTATCAAATTTCAAACCTCACATTCCTCCGGCCATTTGGCCGAGGCCCACGCTAGTTTCTCATAAAAAGAAGTGAAGAAAAAAGGAAACTAGAAGCTCTTAGAAAAGGATTTAATAGGGGCAGGCCGGCGGGGGAGTCAGACGGGTAGAAATTAACAAAGGGGTCGTTTGGAACCTTCGATTCTGGAAATTAAGATAATGTGTGTATTAAATATTGGGTAATTAGCATAAAAGATCACAAACCTATTCGCTTTGTACAAAATTTTCACAAACCTTTTATTTTGCACGTTTTAGTACCATACGTTTGAGAGAGTAACGAAATGGTCATTTCGTCCATCTCCATCCAAAAAACCGTTAGTTTCGTCTAGTCAGCATGCCATGTCACTTAAAATATTAATAAAAAAATTAATAACCAAACCTAATTGAACCGCACAACCCTAATTTTATACGCAAAAACCCTAATTCAATCAATAAGACATCCACGCGGACCTAATAATAAGAGATCCATCAGAGGAGCAACCTATCATTTGGCAAAGAATGACTCCTTGAAAAGAACCATTTGATAGTCTTCCAGAACATGCTTTTGATGAAGTATCAGACTGGGAAAGGAAGTTGATTAAAGACAAAGTTCGTTCTCCCCTTAGAACTTGACTCGTTACCAATCAATATCAATATATAGTAGTTTAAGGAAACAGGTGAAGTGGGACTTCAGTTCACGCCGGCGACACAAGCAGGGGAGGGATCGACGGTGGAGGCTTCAATTCACGCTGGCGACTCGAGCAGGGAGGGATCGATGGTGGGGCCTTCAGTTCACGTTGGCGACTCGAGCAGGGGAGGGATCGACGGTGGCGCTTTGGTTCAGGCCGTCGACCCGACAAGGAGAAGCGAACGGCAGCGGGGGCGTTTGCTTTAGGGCGGCGGCGCGACTAGGGGAAGCAATCGGTGGCCGGAGCGTTGATTTTTGCCGGCCATTTCGGGGGCTGATACGCCCTCTGTAATGTAGAGCCGAGATGAAAGAGGAAAGCGTCTGTTTGTCTCCAATTTCGGGTGGGTGACATTAATTTTGTTTTTGGGTATAAAATTAGGGGTTTTGGGTGGTTGGGTATAAAATTAGGGTTGTCCGGTTCAATTAGGTTTGGTTATCAATTTTTTTATTAATATTTTAAGTGACATGGCATGCTGACTGGACGAAACTAACGGTTTTTTGGATGAAGATAGACGGAATGACCATTTCGTTATTCTCTCAAACGTATGTTACTAAAACGTGCAAAATAAAAGGTTTATGACCATTTTGTACGAAGCGAATAGGTTTGTGACCATTTATGCTAATTACCCATTAAATATTATGTGTATACTAAGAATGTGTGGTTTTGAGATTCGTTGTCTGGAACCCATACAAAAATTCATGAATTATAGTTTAAATGAACTATAGATACTAAAATCTCAACAAAAAAGGTAATATTATGAATACATCATTTTCTATGTATTAGGAACACAACAAGGATTATTAATACATGCATTCTATTATAACATCAAGTCAAAAAAGTTGTATTCTCAAAATACATTTATACTGAGAACACAACATTTGGAATCGAAGGTTCCAAACATTGTATTCTCAGAATACATGTATATACTAAGAGTGGCAAACAAACATGCTTGCTGGAGCTCCATCTCTGACTAAAAGTTCGAAACCATCAAACAAAGCTTAGGAAATACACTCTACCAGGTTACATGTTGCTTCGGCCTAGCTTAACATTGGTGAGACGCGATTCGGATTAGGCGATTTTCAAGTGGGCGGGTTACAACATTGCACGAAGTTTTTTGGCTGAATAGTTTAGAACAATATTCAATGGTCAAGTCAGCAGTAAGTAGATGGAAAAGGGAGAAGAAATAGTTTAGAATGATAGATATCTGTTGGTGGTCCGGGGTTGGAACGTTAAGTTTGCATCAGGTTCATTCTTAGATCGTGACGGATGGTGCAAGTGTGTTGTTGATGTATCTTGTCATGTCATGTGAGGTGTTTTGTGGGGATGCTTATTAAACCATCCGAAATTTCTAGGTTTTTAACCTAATCTTGGTTATTGTCTTATCGAATAGGCCTTGGTGTTGCGCTTTCAT